CCCCCCCCCCCCACATTCCCAAGTGGAAGGCAGTGGTTCACCATCCACTGGGGGCAGGGTGCAAATGGGTGCTAAGGGTTCAGCCTGTGCCAAGGATACATGCTATATCTATATAATCACTAACTTGGCAACTGGAATAGGCACAAAATTACAGCATCCCAAACCCTGTGTGGGTCACAAGAAGAAACCCTGAAAGCAAAAACTGGAGCACAGCAGCAGCAGCAGCCTCCCTGGGCAGATGTGCTTGAGCTGAACATGGCCATAGATGACAGAAGAGGGAAGTGGGAAAACAAAGGTGAAAACTCATAGGAGTTTTCCTTGGCCAAAAGGATTTTTAAGTTAAACAGCAACCCCCACCCCCCGCCCCTTTGTTCAACCCCTGATCCCCATTCACATGCTCAGACCCCATGCCCCCACTCTGGAATTGATGATGACTACTTGGCTAGGTTTCCATTCACGACATTAGAGGAATAACTGGTGGGGACAGAGGCACCTTGCTTGGCCCTCTCCTTTGACAGGTCAAGGCTGGAAGCCCTGTAGTGAGGGGGCTGGTGGGGCTCAGGCTGGAATCTGGGCAGCTGAGGGATGCCATGGGTGATGCCCACAGGCTTGGCCTGGGGCACAGTGCTGTGGTTAAAGCCTCCAGAACTGGAGGAGCAACTGGATTCATTGACAGGCAGCAACACATCTCTAGGCCTGGCCCTCATACTCTGGGAGGCCAGTGGCTGGAGATTATAGCAGGGGCCCATGGGCAGGGGTAGGTGTGAAGGCCGAACAAGCTGAGGCCCACATTCCCTGGGTGCCCTTCGCTCTGGCCCTGGCACTGACAGCGACATTGACATGGCCACAGGAGGTACACAAGAGGTTGCCTGCCCATATGGAGACTGGCTGGAAGATTCATCCAACTGGCTGGGGCTTATCTGGGAAGGGCCTGGCCCCAACGGAAGAGGACAGGGAGCCCAGGCAGGCCAGTCATAGGCCCCTGGGGGTTCAGTATAGAGGGACATAGGACTGTCTCGGCCCCATTCTCCTTCCTCCTCTTCATTTTCTACATCTGAATCTTCCTGCTGGGCCTGAAGCTCATCAGACTCCAGGCAGCCCTGGGCCAGATGGGAATTGGAGAGCTCCAACTCCAGGGTCTCCGCAGTGTCGAGGGAGCGGCTCCTCCTGTTGAGAGCCATGGTGGCAGGTGGAGGTCGAGGGTGCATGCCAGGCAGTCCCAAGTATCGAGGAAGGCTGCTCACACCCCAGGATAGGCCTTGGTAGAATCGGCTGCGGTAGTTGTTGAAGGTATGTTTGTGGTAGTAGCCCAACTCAAAAGCTTCCAAGGAGGCTGCAAGGTCTTCATCATTGTGAAACTCAGAATTTTCTTCACACTTGTCTTCCCCATCCCGTTCCACATCAACAATGTCAAAGGTCACCATGGGGGGCAGCTCAGGGAGGTTTTGAGTGAAGGATGAGTCAGAGTCAGAACTGCAGGACATGCTAGAGAAGAGGTTTCCATTGCTGGTGAACTCCACAAGGGCCTGTGAGAAACTCACAGTGGCACTTCCTTCCTTCTCAACCTCCTCTTCCTCTAGCTCCTCAGGGGGTGAGTAAGTAGGGTAGGCCCTCCTGGGAGATCCTCCAAAATTTGCTTCTTGCATGTCTGGCTCAAACATAGCATCACTCTGGAAAAGCTGCATCAGGCAAGTACTTTGATCTTTCTTGGAGCAAGTTCCCTCGAAACGCTTCTCCAGAGGACGGAAGTCCCTCCAGTCTGGCTCACTGCTCGCAGTGGTGGGGAAAGCTGAGGTGGTTCCTCGGTGGGAAGTCTGAGAAGCCCCTGATGCCCCTACCACCAGGCCCATTACTGACGGGCCTAAGGGCCTCATCTGATACTCCAAGATAGGCTTCTCCTGACAGATCTGGGCCTCTTGGGCCTGAGCCTCTTGGGTTCGGGACTCCCTGGCATAAGCCTGAGCATGGGCTTCTCCAGCATAGGCCTCCCTGCCATGAGCCTCTCGGATATAGGCCTCCCTGATGTGGGCCTCCCTGGCATGAGCATCCTGGGCACGTGCCTCCCGGGCCTCAAGTTGCTCCCGCCGAAGCTCCCAATACAACAACTGTTTCTGGATGGTCACTAGTCGTTCTTCCTCTGTCTCCATTGCCCCAGGTGGCCTGGAGGAAGAAAAGGGCTCCAAGCTCAAGAAGGGGTCAAACATCTCAGAGCTGCGACCATGGAGATCATAAAGGCAGTCATCTCCAGGTGGAGAGTTCTCGAGACTGTCATCTGGCTCATAGAACTCATATAGGGCATCTCCACTGTAGCTGTCTCGGGGTAGGCAATCCCTGTGGAAAAGCCCCAGGGCCTCACCTGAATCATCCTCAAATCCAGGTGTGGTGGAGTCACAATAACCTTCGTCACTATTGGGGGCAGACTCTTGCTGGTCACTCTGAGGAGTCAAAAGTTCACCAGGGGCTAGGCCAGCATAAGACTGAACTGAGTCAAGGAGCATGTAGCCATGGTGGTTTGGGGATGTGGTGGGATTGTACTCCAGGTTCAGATTGTGCCTTGGGTATATTTGGGCACTTGCCCACAGATATTCTAAGTCATCATCTTCTTCCTCCTCCTTGACCTCCTCTTCTTCCTCCTCTAATTCCACTTCTTCTTCCTCCTCTTCTTCCTCGTCATCATCATCATCTGGTAAGGCCATCTCCTCCCCACCTCCTTGGTAGGTCACCAGGCAGGAACTTCGCTTGGTCCCATCTCGGTTGGCCCTCTGGCCCCCAGAGGCCATGCTGTCTGTCATACTGTCCATGTCCTGTTCTGCAATAATATCACCACAACCTGTCAGTGAGTCAAAGCTTTTCAGGGATGTGACATCCCCAAACAGAAGACTCAGCTGGTCCCCCACAGGACCATTGGAGGGATTTACCTCTCCTGTCACCACCTTCTCCCCTGTGTCTGGGCTGTGGGGGTCCTCAGGGCAACTGGCTTCAAGGGCAGGCTTGGGCTGCGTGAGTGCTGAGACATAGGCCTCCATGGGTTTTTCTTGATCTTTACAGGCCATCTCAGTAGCTGGTGGAGAAGGTTCTGGTGCTGGAGAAACTTTTGCCCCGGGGGCATCTTGGGATTTGGCATTTTCCTCTCTAGCGGCTTGGAAGGGCTCCTCAGATTGAGGCAGAGGGGCTGAGTTCACATGCTCTTGAGGCCTGGCTCTAGCCCCTTCAGGCCTCTTGGCCTCTGGCTCACTTTTCTCAGCCCCAGCAACCTTGCTCTTTCGGTGACGGCGGATACTGCTTAAAAATCCTTTTAGGCCTTTCTTTGGCTTGGGCACAGAGGAAACCTTCTCAGTCCCAGCTTTCTCTGTGGCTCCAGCCACAGACGTCTTATATCTGGAGCCTGTCTCCAAGGCCCCATGGGCACTCTGGGAACTGGGAAATTGGCAGGGTGACTCAGGCAAAGGTAGGGGGAATCCAGTTCCTTTGCTGACAACGTCTGCAGGGCCACGGGCTGCTTCACTCAGGCTATCGTAGGTCTTGCTCTTGCTGAGGCCCTTCTTGGAGCTGCCTTTCCCAGAACTTTTGCTTCGTCCCCCTCCAAAGAAACTAGGCAGAGTACAGATACCCTTCTTGCCACCAAAGAGTTTCATGGCAGTTTTCTTCAGCTTACCTGGGCCAGATGAGGGCTGCTCTGGTGTTGGTCGTTCTGTTGCCTCAGCTGCCTTGTTCTTGGCTCCTTCCTCAGCAGCTTGGTCCTGGGTATTCCCAGAAGCTGCAGCTCCCTTGACTTGAGCAGCTTCATCCTTTTGGGTCTCCATGGTGATGGGGACAACTCGGGTACTTTCAGCTGGAAGTGCAGCCTTGGGCTTGCAGGCACTGTTATAATATCATCACTAAGGAAGCATCACAGTGGGGTCTGGAGAAGATGAGAGAGACAAAGACAGATACTGGTGAGCAAGCATCCATGCTGAGTTTGTTTTCACAGGTGTCTGTGGTCTCAGGCTTGAATGGAACCAGAGAGAAAGTAAGGGAAAAATATGGAGAAAACCTTAATCCACTCCATATGCTTGGCCTGGTGGGTCGGCCCCCTCTGGGCCCCAAGGCAATGAAACTCTACACTGAGAAACAGGCAGCCATCACCTCCCCCCATCCCTCACCAAGTCCACTCCCTTCAGGCCACCCTAAGCTCAAGGGAGCACTGGGCAGGGTAAACTACAGATGTGTGAGAAGCCCCAGTGGTGCTATTAGCTGTGAGAGGGATTACTGATAACTGAAGAGGGGAGGGGTAGGGAGAGGCAGGAAAGACAGGAGGGAGGTTAGCTCTAATGTCACCGAATTTTTGAAAAGCATCTGGCAAAACAGCCCATGAAGTCCTTACTGGGTTCTATTGGAACCTGGCCCTGATTTCACATTAGCCTGGACTCTCACTGACATTTTGCCTGGGGCTGGGAATAAAAGAAGACCTGAAGTTTCACCAACTGCCTAAGGGCAGGATAATGCTCAGGCCTTCAGAACCCCAGAGTAGGAGCCTCACAGACCCACAGACTAGGGCTGCAATCCAGGGCTTGCTAAAACCATGTGGTGGCCTCGGGAAAGGTACTTTCTAGGCTGCTGTATCCTCCATCCAAGAGGCCTACCAATACCTCCCCCTCATAAAGGGTATGTGAGAGGTGGGTCTAGGTGAGACTTTCTATTGACTGTCCTGCTGGGAAGAGATTTTAAAATGGCCCTTGACAACTGGAACCCCCAAGTTCCACTTTAGAACCACCAGGTGGAATGTTTCTTCTCTACTCCCTTCCCCTTGTTATTTCGTCCCACCTCTAGCTCTCTATCTAGGAAGAGAATTCCTTCAAGGCACAACCCTACATGATTCATGTTCCTGTTCTGGGAGATAAGCTCTCAACAGCTATTTAAATAAATAAACATGGTGCAAGCCACACCCTTCTGGTCTAGGTTCCCAACATTCCAAACACCCAAATGCCAAGAGACCAACACACCTCCCCCTCTCCCCCAGGTCTGGTGTATTCTAGTGACTGTGGATTGGTGACCAGCCTGCTAAAACCCAATAACCCCTCCCTAGAAAGTCCCACCAGTGTGTCCCCTCTCTGTAGGGTAGCCACCAACAGAAGGATCTAGGGTGAGAAAGGGGGTGCGGAGTGGAAGAGGTAAGGCAAGCACCACTATGGTCAGGGAGCAGCTGGCCAGCACACCAGTCCATTGATTGATTGTGACGGTAATAAGACACATTCAGCTGCAACAGAAGACTGTGGACCAGCACTGGGGGTGGAGAGAGACTAGCAGCTACTTTCTATACTGTGACCTCATTAGAGGAACCCCTCCTGGAGTCCCTGCTCCTGTCTTGCAAACAATCTTGCCTAGTGCCTTGTTTGACTTGACACTTGGTTCATCAGTGTGATCCAAGCTTCTATCGAGAGCACTCTGCAGAACTGAATATTATAACTGGAGCAAGATAATGGCTGGTTACCCAGAAAAGGAAAAAAGGCAAAAGTTTTTAAAAAAACAGCTCATCTGATCCCCTCTCTGCAGAGATCTGCATTACCATTTGCTTAGGTTGGGTATTTTTCTATGTGACATATTTTAACATCACACTGTTGCAACTTAGCCCTGCAACTGATAGCTCCATAAGAGACAGCACCCCTGATACCCAAGCACACAAAATCACCCAGAGGTTTCTGCCCTGGGATCTGATGCGAATGGGGGCCCTATCATCTATCTGAATCTCCCACTTTCCATAGCACAGATATTTTAACCTCTGCCCTGAAATTACTGACAGGGTTGTCATTATGGGTTGGGGGTGGGGGAGTTGGGGTGGCAGTAGTGGAGCTGTTTGTGAAATTGCATTCCCCTCTGTGGAATTCATGAAACATACCTCTCCTGAACATTCAGTAAGTGACAGGCACTCAGCAAAATCCTGCAGGACAGGCCAATAAGGGGGAACCCCTAAACCCTTGCTTTTAGGAAGCCTCTAGACTAACAAGGAGAGAGTCTGATATGTAACAGTCTGAAGGCTCAACATGATACAAGCCTGGATAGGGTTTCTGTAGGTTTCTCAGCCTCACTCCTCTGCCCATTGGCCCAAGCCCCAAATACCCAGGAGCTTCTCCAGTCCTTTTAAAGACGTGGTCACCCAGGCACTGCCTCTCCCTAGAAACGGGCTTTCCTTGTGAGTCTTCTTGATTCCCCTGCTTTCTCTTGAGGTCCTCTCCCTGCTGAGGTCCTCTCCCTGCCCAGCTCGCTTTGAACAATAGGGGCTTTGGGAGCCACCTTGTACCTGCCACTCCCCTTTCAAGCTCCCAAACCTCCTTAGGGAGGAATGTATCTAAGATGGATACTGCCTGAATAGGCTTCCACTATGTCAGTATTAGCCCAGCAAGGGTGAGATCAGAGACAGATGCTACCCCTTCCCCCACCCCCTGTTCAGATAAAGAACAAGAGAGGAGCTAATCCCAGGGAAACACATGTGACAGGGAAGCCGAGGAAAGCCTGCAGAGAAGCAGCCACACCAGGCGAACAATGGAGACCCCTGACTTTCCTATGTATCCACTCCCTTCTACTCACCATACCCTGTGTTGGAGGTCAAATGAGAAAACTGAGGCTTGAGAGGTCTCAGGAGAGTGTACTTTAAGGAACAAGCCTAGAATTGGGGGCCAGAAGCTTAGGACTTCTGTGTAACCTTAGACAAATCTTTGCCCTGTTCTGGACCTCAGTTTCCCCACCTAGAAATGTGAGATTAGACCAGGGGGTCCAGTTGCCCTAGGTTGCCCTGAGAGGCTGAAGGAGGGATGGTCCTGTGTCCAGTTTCCAGTGGCTGCTGAGTCAGGAGGTCTGGTTTGGGGGGTCCTAAGCCTTGTTGGGAGGCCTGGGTACTTAGCTGGTTAGACCCAGACCACCACTACAGGTCAGGGGTGCACTGTGGCCCAGCCATACTTCTTGCACCACCTCCCAACATTTTACTCTTTCAAAATGTACTAGGCCTGGCCTGTGAATATTTCCAATATGTCCAGAGAGGAGGGGGCCCAGAGTCCAGCCCAGCACTCTTTCCTATGAAAAGAGCTGAAGCTCCCAGCAGGGAGGGCTGAGCAGGCAGGGAGGGCTGAGCAGATGGGGAGGGAGAGCTATGGCATGCTGGCTAGGGACAGAAGGTTAGTATCTGCTTAGAAGCCCAGCAGGGGGGAAAAAAAAGCCTGTAGGAGATGAAAGCAATGAAGGCTTTAGGACAAGAAATACAGATCAAAGGATCTTTGCCCCTGAAGCACCAGTATGCCTGCCTGTGACCTCACCAAGGTCCCCTGGGCCATTTTCTCCATTGTCCATATTTCCCCCTAATCCCAAAAGAGGAGGCTGGGGAGCAATGCTCCCTCAGCTGGCACCTCTGCAGTGGTTCTGTTTTCCCTGCCTGCCTTGCTGGAGATACACTTACACATGCACAGGTTTGAAAAATAAGACCAAACAGAGAAGATAGAAGACTCTGATTATTTAATTCAGAGAACAGAAGTTAGGGGTGGAGAGAGTATTTAATGCTTATGAAATCTCCCTCCAATGGATTGTGACGCAGAAGAGCAATGATGGCCAGCTGCTCTCAACTCTACCCCCGAACACACACATACATGCAAGGTTTAACTATAGCACGAGAGGTTCAGATTAGCTCTGAGAAAGAACTTCCCAGCAGTGAGATGGGTGACCTAAGAATGAGTGACACAGGAAGGCTATGAAATACTTCCTCTGGAGGCTTAAACTTTATCACATAGTTTATCTGCCTGGACAGTATTTGAGGCAGGGAAATTGATGGAATAACTTTGGGTGTCCCCTCTTCCAGCCTCAGGTACCCTGTCTGTTAGGTGGAAACTCCTTCTCCCTCTTTGGTTCTACAAGCCCATGATCTATCAGGCTTGCCACTATTTCTCTCATTCCCTTGTTCCCTTGGACCAGCAGAGCAGGGCTATTCCCTTCAAACACACTTTCTGAGAATGGAAATGTAACAGTTCTTGAGGAATTTTCAACACTTCCAGTATACTGGGAGGGAATCATTGGACTGCCAACTTCTTCCAACTACATCCTCTCCTTCTGAAACTTTCAGCACCCGATAGATTGTAGACAACACCAAGAGATAAGAGACATGAAAGGGGAGAGGGATTCCCCAGATGGAGCCCCCAAATTAACTCGGCCCCAGGAGGCAGCAGCCTATCCCTAAATAGCCCTGTGACCTTAAGCAAGCTGTTGTTGTTTTCCAGGGTCCAAACTGGTTCTCCCTGAAGGCCTGTTCGGCTGAGGAAGGAGTTCAACAGAGGCCTGGAGAACACTAAGCCCCCACCACGTTGCTATTTAGAACCTAGGTTCCCCCCACCCCTTCTATTCCTTGCCCCTGCAAGGCTGAGGGAGACTGACATATTGAAACATCCCTCTGGAGATAGCCTGCCCCCAGCTCTATTTCCATTTCCTAAGGTCGCCTCTTACCTGCCTGACTTGCAGCATCCTTCCAATCCCTTTTTAAGACCCCCATTCTAAAACCCTTTCTAACACCCCCATTTTTATCACAGCATATTTATACACACAAAAAATACCCAAACCCCCCAATTCCCCATTCTTTGATGCCCCCTTCCCCTAAAAGGATCAGCTCTCCAGTCCACAGCCTGGTATTTGGGAATCCCCACCACTGAGCCCTAACCTCTGCTCCACCTCTGAGCCATACCATCTATCTCAACCAGAATAGACTCAGTCACCTTACTCACCCTGCCTGCCAGCCACCCTCCTTCCATCCTAATTTTGCTTACCCTTTGCCTACCAAACCCCTCTACTTTCTGGCAGCTTCCCAGGATGATCCCCTGTATATACAGATCTCTCATCTCTCAAGCACTTTGTTTCTAGGCTCATGAATTAGCAACCAAAGGTATGCATAATCTAGGGTCTGAGCAGTTCATATCCTGAGCTTACTGTTGAGGGGATACTTCATGATTTATGTTTTTCTTATAGTTGCAACCCATCTCTCTTCTGCATTCTCATGAGGCATACTCAGTAAATATCTGAGCCTCGAGTATCATTTCTCTAGTCACTTTCATATAGACCACGACAAGTACAAGTTGGAAAGATAAAGGTCTTCAAACCTGTACAAAGACAGCACTTAAAACAATCATTAACTGCTCTGCACTGCTAGGCTCTGAGAGGGTTGTGGCTGAGGTCCAGGTTTCATTAACTCCCTGGAGAGGCTCCGAGAGAACCCAGACATCCATGATATCAGGGAGACAAAGCAGAGGCAGGGAAATTAATTAGTCTGCCTCCTATTATAATTTAAGCCTGAAAATGCCCAGGAAGTGCAAGCAGCCCTGGAGGAGTTCTGAGAAAGAAGAGGTCATCATGAGTGGCAAGAGGTAGACAGGAAAGGCACCGAGAAGGTAGGCCCAGAATTGGGGCCTCAGAGGGAGGAGGATTTGGACAGGTGTAGGCTGAGTGGGTTTGGGTGTGGGGAAGGGAATAATAATATAGAGCAGATACATTAGGTGGCTGTTGGCCTGAGGCAAGGCAGAGGGCGGGTCTATCGCTGGGGTGGAGATGCCCAGCTGCAAGTACCAGGTGACTGTAGTGTGATATCCGCAGTCCTGGCTGGTGTTGAAAAGATCCCCAGCTAGCCTTCCCCCAAGTGATTTACTGGGTCTCACTGCCCTCCCCTCAAAGATGCCCAAGCTTTGCCTCAGAGGTTGATCAAAGGTCCAAGAAGAGCTTGTCAAGCCCCTGGATCACTCCCTTTATCCTGTTACTCTGGAAGGCCTAGAGAACCCATTGCCAGAGGCACACCGTGGTGCAGTGACTGTGCGCTTAGTGGGGCCCAATGAGGGGAGCCGCACTGGGGGAGGGGGCTCTGCTGGAATCCCCAGGGGTGGGGCGGGGAGTCCAACAACACAGTGCCCATGTCCACGCCGCTGACGCAGGCGGGCAGAGCCTCAAAGGGAGGTGTTTGTGCGTGGAACAAGGCTCACCTTGACCCCGTGGCCTATGACAAAGCGAGCCTGGCCAAATAGAGGCCAGCTCTGCGGGGCCAGTCCAGCTGCTGCCAGGGCGCCTGGGCTGTAGAGCGCATGGCTGGCACAGACCCTCACCGCCCAGGGAGCCCAGGCAAAGTCTGGCATTCAGGCGGTCACCAGTGTCAGGGTGTTTGCAGCAGACAATGACAGCAGCCCTGTGGCCGCTGCGAAGTTGAAGGATTTGGCTGCCTCCCTATAGTTCTCTCACACACATACAGACGGTGCGTTCCCTAGTACAACGACCGCCTCCTTGGCTTCTGGTACGTAAATCCCTCCACAGCACCATGTCTATCGCTATTTTTAAACGGGACGCTGGAGATGAAAACGCGGCCAGTGCCCCAGGGGAAAGGAGGTAAGGCGAGGGGGGAAGACAAAGCGGCCTTGCGGCTCTAACCCAAGGACCAGCAAGAGCCCCGCCGCCAGCTCGCTTGCTCACGGAGGCGGGAGCCAGATGCGCTTGAAGGCCCAGGAGGGGGCGCGGCTGGTTGGGGCTGCAAGGCCGAGGTTCCGAAGGGAAGTTGGCAGCCCACAGGCCTAACTGAGCTCCCCTGGGTAGGGGGTAGAAAGTGTGGATATCCCAATGCACGCCCAAACCAGTCTCCATCCGGCCCAATCCGGGGCGCCGGCTTCGTCCGCAGAGAGGAGGGAGAGGCAGAAGATGCGCAAGGGAGGGGCGGCAGCAGGGCCGCTGGAGTGAGCGGTTACCCGCGTAATACAGCTGTTTCAGCAAATGTGCTACAACAAAGCTGCGGACCTCCCGGCCTACAAATGCACGGCTTGGGTTGCTGGCTGGCGGCGCCCCATCCGCAATCGCGGGGCAGCACGTGCAGGCCCATCCCCGCCTACCCCAAGAGCCCCAAGGCATGGCCCAGGTTAGGTCTCCCACCCTCCCCACTCCCCTACCCCCCGCTGTGGTCGTCCGCGCCCAGAGTACTCACGGCCGCTCGGCCTCTCACCGGACAGTCCGCAAAGCGGGTTCCAAGGGAAAGCAGCGAGCGGCCCGGACTCCGACCTGCTCAGTCCTTAGTGCCCTCCTCCAGGCGACCGGAGAGGAGAACGCGGGAATGCACCCGACCGCGGGCAGGCGGAGGCTCCAGGCTGCGCGCAACGCTTACCCGGCCCGGTCCGGCTCCTGGCCGGGTTATTGTCTGCTGCGCCGCCCTGGCTGCGGCTGGACTGTCGACTGCCGTGGCTGAGAGCGCCGCCACAGTTGCTCCTGCCGCCGCCGCCGCGGCTCCAGTCACCTCCCGCACTGCATCCCCTTCCCCAAGCTCTGGGCAGCTCCCCCATACCCCTCCCCCGGACTCCATGGCCACAGGGTGGGGCGTCCGAGCACTGATTGGCATGAATGTGGTCCAATTGCTACGGTGGGAAGGCGTACCCCGTCCCGCCCACTGTTTTTTCTTGGTGCGTTTCTCTTTAAATGCAAATAAGCGCGGGCGTGGCGTTGGCAGGGGGCGGAGAGGGTGCGGAAGCCCTCGCTGGGCGCCCCACTCCCGCCCCCAAGCCAGGCGGTCGCGGAGTGGCTACACCGAGGGCTCGAGGGGACGGTCCCTCCCTGATGAGGTTCGCGGATTCCTGGAGCTAGGTTTCGGTTTTGCACGCGCTCCCATTTCCGTGACCGCCTTGCATTCGCGCTACTGCGCCCTGGTCGCCACTCGGCGGTTTATACCCCCAAGAGGCCGGTGGGGAGAATCGTGGTGGAGAGGTTGGGGAACCTGGGGGTACTGCAGAGCCTTTTGGTACCACGGCTGACCTATCCTTAGGCATAGAGGCAGGGCCTCGCGGCTCGCGCCACCAGGCCACCCAGAGGAGGGACTCACCTGCCGGGAAAGCCAGCTGCAGCGCTTGCACCCACGCCCCAGCTTCTTCCGCCTCTCTGGCACACCTGGGCTCTTAGGGACCATCGAGTCCAACTTCCACCCATTACCGACGGGCCTGCTACTGTACAGAGAAGGGAAAGCACTCCACTAAGTTTCCCAGTCCTCAAGCGACAGGGGCGTATTTAGAATCCAGAGCCTCGGGCTTCCCATCCAGGACTGCTTTCACTTTTCTTCTCTGGGAAGATACCCATTTACTTAGTTTGACACTCACTCAGTTTCCCACCTTTCACAGAACATGAAGGGGATCCCCAAAGTCTCCAGAGCCTTCAGCCCCCAAATCTTTAATTTTGAACCTGGCTTTGTGCAGGTCCCTGTCCCCGAAAAGTCTAGATATTGAGAGAAAAGTCTTGTGTGGGCCCAGACCTGAGGTCAGGCTGAGGATGAAGTGAGGAGGCCTGTACCAGCCTTGCCCACTACTGTGTCTGGGATGTGGCAGGGACCAGTTGAGCTCGGGTCTCCAGCCTGAGGACGTTAAGTGGCATGAGTGGCTGCCAGGGCCAATTGAGCTGAGGCAACAAAGAATCCAGTTTTACCACCAGCTCAATATCCGGAAAGCCCAGCCCTAAAATTCTGTGAATGTCTAAAAAGGGGGAGGAGGGTGGGTTAAAGTTGAGGAATGGGGAAGGATTAGAGATCAATGTGTGCCATTTTTGCATTGCAGGAGTGTTCTCTGCTGCTCTACTGGGTCCTGTCTGCCTTGAAAAGATCCAGCTGCTGAACTGGTAAGGTAAGAGGTGGACTGCTGCCTGTGCATGTGCAGAGCACAAGAAGTGGCATGGCTGCTGGGACTAGGATCTAGCTCCAGTGCTGCCTCAGACTTGCTGTGAGAACTTGGCCAATCCCTTTTCCTCTCTGAGCCAGTCCACCACCCCACCTCCCCAAGGAGGGGGTAAAACTCATCAGGCTCGCTTGATTTCTTAGGGCTCTGCCAGTGAATTAAATTCTTTCTATAGTATTTCACGATGTTTCATGACCTTCCATGATCTATACATCTCCAACAAAAAATCAGCAGTGAACATCATTCCCTCATCCTAGTCCTGGGTCTAAATAAATGGTGGTAAGTGGGGAGCTGCTGCTCATTATGCAACTTTGTTGGGTAAGTTCCTTCTCCATAGCCTCAGTTTCCCCTTCTGGATGGCTGTTCTATATAATGTTTCCCTAGGGCTGTGCTTTCCTGCTTTGGAAAGTCTTGATTCTTATTTGTTGGGTCTGATCTGGAAGGGTCTTCTCTCTTTCAGTGCTTCCATCATAGGCTTCACTGCTGCCTCCTGCCTCTGGTCACTTGCCACCTGCTCACATTTCACTTGGAACCTTGATTCTCTCCATTAGGCCAAGATTACAATTTGAAGAAGGCAGTTTCCAAATCTGGAGCCCAGAAAAACAAAAAGCCAGAGCAGTCTCTGCTGTGGGAAAAGGTAGAGAGGATGTGTGCAAAGTAGTCAGGTGGTGGGCTTGAAATAACCCTGGACACTGTTGCATTGCTCTTGTCACAGGAGCTAGTCCTCCCTGCCTTCTGTCAAGCCACCAACATTCTGCCACACCAGTCAGCTTTGGGGGTGATAGATACTGGTTTGAGCCCAAAAGGAGTAGGGCTTCAGGAAAATAAAACTAGTCTTTGAAATGCTAAAGAGGCCTCCTAGCTGGGCGCCCTTCTTTGTGGTCTTGATATTCCTGAGCCTTGGGAGGACATTGTGTCTGTGCCTTAAGGGGGAAGGAAGGTGGGAGGGGGCAGCACAGCTCCTTGTTTGTATGGCCCGCTCCTCCCCAGGGGCAATGTATGGAAACACCAAGTGTGTGCATAGACTTGTGCCTCAGAATGGAGCCCTTCAAGGCCCACATCCCACACGCTGATTGACATGTGATCAACTTGTTTGGTCAGGACAGGGACTGGTGGTAGGAAGCAGGAATTCTTTTTTGTCTTAAGTTTCATTATCTGCAAAATGAAGATAATCCCCCTGCCACCCAGGTTCTTGTGTCTGCAGTGAAAAACTCATGAGAACAGATGTGCAGGCTGTATGGAGCATCTTCATAAACTCAGGTAGACAGACTGGGCCATATGATTACAATGCCCATTTCTTCCTTCACCAAGTGTTCCATGGGCACCTCCTCTATGCCAGGCCTGGCAAAAGGTATTCAGTGGTAACCTCCTTGGGGGACCTGGGGATGGGGTTGTGAGAAGAGCTGAAAGCTAGGCTAGAGATCTGGCAAAGGTGCTCTGGAGCATTGCAGATGAAGATTTCCCTCTCCCCACAGTAGAAAGGGGCATCAGAGAAAAGTTCCATGGAGGATGGCCTTTATGATTGAGTCAAATCAGAAAAATAGGGGAAGGATTCCTGCCTAAGCCAAAGCCCATCAGTGTGAAAGGGTATGGTAGGTTGGGTGAGAGCTACGATTCTGGATGGCTGTTAGCTGAGTATTTGTATAGAGGAAGAGCTGAAAATTAGGCTAGAAAGATAAGTCTGGGGTCAAAGAGCAAATGACAACTGCCCAGGTACATGGAGGCCCAACTAGCTATGTGTGGAGTATACTAACATTTATAAAGCAAATGTATTTCACAGGGCCTAGTTTCCAAGACCCTGTAATTTCAGGTATAGCCTAACTTTTTAAAATTATGCATAGAAATGTTAAGCTTGTGAAAGACAGGAAACTTTCCCCAGGCTAAAGTCTCTGTTGTAGGTCAAGAATTGTAACACAGCAAAATTGCTGGCTCTAAGGGCAAATGTCCTTGGTGCAGCTAAACCTAATGATTGTTGCCATGACAATTATCTTACTGTTCTTTTTGTAACCACCTATGTTCCTTTTCTGTAACTTTCTGGCCTGGAAAATAAATACCGAGAGAAGACCCTAGTTCAGTGTTATTTTCCAAGGAGGAATGCCTCTCTCTTGAGGGTTTCTGGAAAATTAACCCCTTTGGGGCTTCTCACTGCTCAGAAGAAATGAACTTTGAATAATCCTTTGCGTCTCTGTCACCCTGGGGGAGAGGTGACAACTATGTTCGTTCATCCTTCCCAGGGAAGCAGCACAGTGTAGTGATTCTGCTACCAGACTGCCTAGGCTGGGATGCCAGTCCCACCACTTAGGAGCAGTGTGATCTGGGCAGATTAATTTACATCTCTGAGTCTCAATTTTCTTTTCTGCAAAATTAGCATAATAATAGTACCCATGTCACATGGTTGTAGTAAGAATTGAGTGAGTATTCCACATAAAGTGGCACAAAGCCTAGTACATATGAAGCTCTCGATAAATGTTAGCTACTGCTGCTGCTGTTGTTGTTGTTGTTGTTATTATTAGTCTCTTTCTGATCCAATGTGCAGATCTTTAGCATTATAGAACTTATAATATGACTTTGAAACCACTTTTTAATATAAACACACATGAGCCTGTGATTCCTTATGCACAGATTCCTTTTGATTGTGCAGACCCAGACTGAGTTTCCCAGGGTAGAATCTCTTGTTTGTCTTTATATTCTCAGCACCCAACAGAGAGTTTAGCACAAACTTGGTGCTGAGTGTACGTTTTCTGAACACAGTCAAACGAGGCATTTTCAGGTCTCTAATATCAAGCTTAGGTGCCAGCATCCACTGGTGAAGTGTGATGTTGCCACTCACTGAGCACCCATCTGTGCCAGGCCTTATGTTAAGTGCCATGCCTGTCACCCAGAATGGTGAGCTAGACACAGCTTCTGGCCTCAAGGGCAACCAATCTAGTGGAGGAGGGGCACAACTCATCAGACCAATGCCCTGCAGTTTCCAACTTGGGCTGGCTGGTGTTGCCATCTGAACTCAGGAATATAGGAACAGGATTAGGAAAGCATAATGATTCTGTTTAGGACATTCTGAGTTTGACAAGTCAGAAATCCCACCTTTGCACTTGCTGTTCCCTCTGCCTACAACATTTGTCCTCTGAATATTGGCATGGTTTGTACTTTACTTCCTTCAAGTATCTGTTCAAATGTCACTAATAGTAAGACCTTCCCTGGACACTTGATATATGAAATAGCAATCCCCATTTCTAGCTCTCACAGTTCAAGTAAATTATATATGAAATTTAGTAAAGGACTTCAAGATGTCAGATAATGGGTGTGTGTGTGTGTGTGTGGTCCCCCCCCTTTTTTGGCTTTTTTTTTTTTTTTTTTTTTTTTTTTCTTTTTTCCTCATCCATAGCATTTACCACCTCCTGGCATGTTGTTTCTTTTTGTTATTCATTTATTTTTATTGTCATTTTTCATTGTCTTTTTCCCATCATGATAATGGAAGCTCCAGGAGGGCTGACAGACAATAAACAAAATACATTCATTAAATATATAATATGGCAGTTGGTGATTAAT